CATATTTACTGTAGCAATTTATTGGGAATTTCCAAGGAGCTAGAACACATTTCTTGCTGTGTTTATCATTTTGGCAGTCAGTTTCTGGATCTTCATTAGGGGGCCCTCAGGTCTATTAAATGTCATTTTTTACATCAGTGAAAGAAGCAAAAGGATAAAGCCCTGCATAATTTGCATTAATCATACTTTACCTTATGCCTTTTTTATTATGAAAACAAAATTATATATATAGATAGATACAGTATATATTACTGTATATACACACACAGTACAGTATATGTATTGTGGTTTAAGCCATTTGTATTTTTTAATCATAAATATCAATTAGTTTCTGATTTTACTGACAGCAATTTGCAGTACAGGAGTTTGCACTGACAGGTAGCCTTCGAATATATTTTTGTATGACCACTGGTCACTGCTAATGTCTGCATGGCTCAGTTCCTATAGTGTCCGTGTCACACCATGCTCTTTCATGGTTAAATCACCATTCTATTGCAGCTGAGAGCGTGCAACAGCCAACTATATATAGAGCATTGTGTCTTATGTAGAATGGAGGCAGCATTTATGGCTGCTGTATGTGCTCATCTACGAATAAACTGGATATTTCTACATTGATGATTTCGTAAACAGTAAAGCTAACACTAGACAAGATGAGATGATTTGTTTGTCTGATTTAATGAAGATACGAGTAAACTAGATGTAGACCCAAAAATTCTAGCAAAACAGTTCTGCATTCTGTTTATAAGTGCTTACATATTATACAAACGTTACATGAAGTTCACTGCCAACCAACTATTGCCAAAGTTCACATGCATAAAACCTAATTAACAGCGAGAACGCTGAGAACGGTATTTCACCATGTTTTAAAATCAGTTTGATATTTATTTTATTTTTTGAAAAACAAAAGTAATGCAACTGGAAACATTTGTAACATTGTATCTAATATTTGCCATTCCACTAATGCTACTGCTATCACTTTGTGAATCAATTTTGGATGCCTCTTTTCACATGGGTGGCAGGTTTTACCACCCCTCTGAAAAGTGATCCGCAGTGGAACATCTTCAGAGAGCAGCTAAGTGGTAGTTTGGAGGCATTCAGGAGGCAATACTGATGCCTTTTTATCTCAGGGGAAAAATTTTATTTATAAATCACACAGCAACTGCGAAACCACCAAAATGTTGTATTTACATTCACTTCTATAGCCCTGAAAAACTTCAATTAAGTTTTTCGGTGTATCACCAACACTAAGCTTCTCTCACCCGACACTGCTTTTACCCACAATTCCCAGCTGTCAAAATGACCGCCGAGACTTGCTATGTACCACAAAAAGGGAGCAGCTGTCAAAATGCAGTTGCTCCTGTGTGAAAATGAGACTTGCAGACTATCTGCAAGTGTCATTTAGAAAACATAATGTAACACTTTCTACATTCTATTTACTATTTAATTAATACGTAGATCAAACGTGTGACCGTTGATTTGCAAATTACATCAGTTAAAGCAACCAACAAAGCCGCTTGAAGTTTGCAGAAACCTTTGCAAAAGCTTGCTGTGCATACTACTCCTATACAAGCTAAAGTCGATATGTACAAGGCCTCAAGAGCATTCTCTGCGCATGTGTTTTTCAATAGGAGCTGCAGTCATCATTGTTAGGAGCATATCTTGATTTCCCTTTCATCAATGAGAAGCTTTCTCTGCAGCCTTCCCCCCCCATGACTGTTACGCTGCTGGATAAGTGGGAGCTCTTGTCATTGTGAAATGACAGCTTGTAACATCAGCCACCGAGACTGGAAGTGAAAAGGGTAGGGTGCTGGGTTTGCAGAGAGGATGGTTATGAAATCTGTGAATGGCCCAATAAGTTAGCAACATTTTACTGAATATCTACACTTACTGGACTGATTTACAACACTTTTCAGTAGTCTTATGCAATATAGCATGGTGTGACTAGCAAATCAAAAGCACTGACTTTCTTGGAGTATTGATGACATAGACAGAAAGTAACTAGCAGATTAAAAAAAAAAAGGAGATCAACAACGGCAGACACAGGCTTTCTCTTAGTACAGTTTTCCTTTAAATCTAAAAGCCATTATTCAAATTAAGTTTTTAAAGACAAACTGTACAAAGGACTTTTCAATGATATTCATCAGCAGCAGTGCCAGTAATATTGTTGGCATGAATTCATTTACATTAAAGAGGTGAAGTGTTAGTACTGGTGGTAAAGCCACTTTGTCGTATCCATGAAGATTACACAATAAAGGTCAACTATTGCATTTTGTCCCAGCCTCTGTCACTTTTACTGGACGGCTTGGACTTCCCAAAACGGAAGGAAAAATATATAAAGCCATGTAACATAAAAAGACAGGAACTCAAATACTAATCATTGCATATCTTAAGCACTTTCAGTTATCAGAATTAAACATTTTGATGCAATTGTGGTCCTTTAGCTGTTATAAGGCCTTAGCTTTGCATCTGTATGTTCTTCTTCACTTTCATAGGAGGATAGTTAGGATAGCAGCATAGTAGGATAACGAGAATAGTTTCACATTCCACAGCATTTAAATTAGAAAGCGTAACAGAACAAGATGTGTTGTGTAGCCTGAACAAATCCTCAGCTACTACATCTTAAAAAGTGTTTCTAACTGTACTGAATTGGCATTATAAAGTGTTATAAACAAAAAAAACGCCGGGTGTGCACACGAGAGTTAAGCAGAAAGATAGACTCTTGTTTGAACTAATACACTAACAGATCCACATCCGGTGTCCCCCAAGGCAGTCATATATCACAAAGCTCCTGCTGACGGAGATACCATTCCCCAATCTGCCACTTCTACACTCCTGGAATGTCCACCCCAGAGATCACTCTATACAGCATAGCATTGGATAGATTCCTCTTCAGTCACCAACGACACCCTCCTGTTTCCCCCTGTTTGCACTTTCAGCCTGATCGCCTTGTCCAGAGAAAGGTTGGGGTTTTTTTGCCATGTCATGAGAATGTTCTGTTGTAAAGCTTGGGAAATGAATGGAGTAAATGAAAACAGTCTTGAAGGTAAATACAATAAATCTCAAGCATATGTATTCAGCTCCGCAGGAATGACTGACAACAGGATCGAAACAACCAAACCTGACCCTGCAGTTGTCAACTGCTCCTAAGTACACTCATTTATTAGCTCTGTTTTTAATCTCAATGCATTTCAGTTAACGCCCCCAAAAATTGGGGGAGGCAGGGGGAGCACCATGATATTATAAATATCCTCCTCAGGCGAACACATAAAGGCAGGAAAGGAACACAGCATAGTCTATGTCTAGGACATAGCCACAGATTATGAACAAACAACATTTAACTATTATTGTAGTGTCAATAGTGCCACCTTGTGGAGTGCTTCTAAAAGTAACAAGGTTTATCCACAGAAACACCTTGACACAGGTTACACCTCTATCCGGATTTTTAGCAACTATACACACACACACAAAGATAGCAATTAGAGTGAGCCTCTTCTATGTGCTACTGAAACAGACTGATTAACATTCAGGTTCTGGCAGGAGCAACACTGCCCAAGTAGTAGAGTTCTAATCCACCAGTAGATCTGTAAACCACAGCTATGCCTATATAATACATAATCTAAAACAGTTTTCTCCATTCAAGCTGTATTAAATAAAACTATCTTCTTGCTGTATAGAAAAGCAACACTACTTATATACTGTAGCCCTATACAGGTTTCCCACATCCGATAGGTGTACACCCAAGGGGAATTCTGACAAGTGTAAAGAGCGAATCTGCATGGCAAAATAAAGTCTGAAAGTTTAAAAACTTCTACATAAAAACCAGATCATTTATTTTTTTGTCACTTTAAAATATAAAAGGATACATTTTGAGAGGGCATATACAAAAGTACATACGGCAGGGAATAGTTAATCAATTCTACTATATCTGTAGTCATAAGAAGGGTACATAAAATAGAAGTTTGGAAGCACTGCTCTAGGCTTCTAAAATAAGTCTACTTATACTGTAATTCTTAAAATGATGGTGTTCTTTAGTGTTAAAATGTATCCACATATTATCCTTCGTATAAATATGAAAGCTGTCATGGCACAATACAAAAGGTACAATATTACATAATAAAAAAAAAACCACATGACTTAATATTTCATAAAGTGCACATTTTTAATATACCTGACTTAGTTCTTGCAGTAAACAAAAGTAGTGGAAACATACATTACAAAAGTTCACACTGTATAATAAACATCATTCGTATATAAGGTACATTGAATTATCACAGGACATTGATAGATGTAACGCAGCTAAACTTATCTGGGATATTTCTGATTGGAGCCATGGCAGCAGAAAGAGACGGATACTCCCCTTTCCTACATACAGGATACCATTCTTCTGCACCCCAAAATCCAATCCTCACCGATAAGTTGTTTCCTCTGTCAACACACCGCTGTCCTGGTGATGGCAGGTTTTTATCACAGCATGTTACGGCACACAGAAAGAGATAGGGTGAATAGCTATTGTAAAATGATCACATTCAAAGGAGACCTGTACTAAAAGAAAATTGTATGCTGCCATTGTTGACCTTCTTATAATGCTAGTCCCCTCTTTGTCAAGCTTATGCTCCCCCTTCAATACCTCGAGTCCCAAGACATAAGGACAATTATAAGACTCTAAAATCAAAACAAAAAAGGACTGAAGAAACAAAACAGCCAAGTGACTGGTATATTCAGAAGAGGCCACCAACAGCAGACTACATATTTCTCTCAGGTTTCCTTTAATTGTTATGAAAAGCCATATGATCACTGTGATCACAGAGTGCGCATTTCATGTTTGGCAAATTATACCCATGTAAACAATAATCTTTTTTTCTGTGATGTAGTTAATAGAAATTTCACATTATAATAAAAACAAAATAAAAAACGTATACTACACTTTTAATAAGCTATACAAAAACAGTCATGGAGACAAATTACAAAAAAACAACAATTAGTGTACAGTGTCCTGAATGTTAGCCTGAGGCACTATTCTCTTCTTCTTCTTCTGTATTCCTGCGCCGATGTCCTGAGCCTCCAGTCTCTACCTTATTGCGCTCTATAGGTGGAGCAAGTTCTTCTAATTGCCTCTCCTGTGCAATTTCCAATTCCTCCAGTCTTTTTCGAAGCATAGAAAGCTCTTTTTGATGTTGTTCCTCCTGAAAGAAAGACAATACTGTGATAAAGTAAAAACATGATTAAGCTATTCCACTTATTTTCTCATTCTACTTTAGAGGAGAACTATGGGGCAACCCATAATTATCCTCAGGGTCATGGGAGGACATATACGGTGTTCTCCGGTGACCCAAAACTCAGTATATAGCGAACTATTGTCCACTATATGCTGAGAGCGTTGCAGCTGGGACAGATCCAGACAATACTGTCGAGATCCACCCTGCTGGCTGATTGACAGCGGGCTCAGCCTCTCTAGATTAGTGTTACTAGGTATCTGAATTTGGCCTGTAAACAGTCTCTCACAGTCTGCTGTAAAGCAGTGACCAGAGGACAGGAGAGAGAAGCAGCACAAAGAGCCAGCCTGGTGTGCTGCAGTGCAAGGAGCATGCTGATAAGAGAAGTGAGCAAGGTGACAGATAAACTCATCATTGTGCAGATTCTCCTTACACTGTCCAGTCACAGGGTGGGCTATTAAATGTATATGACCAGTGGCCCACAGAAAACGGGATAAAGATCAACAACATGATTGCACCACAAGGTACCTGCATTCTGGCTCTGCAGTTAGTCCAATCAGTGGCAAACAGTCCTTATAGAATATATTTTCAACATGTATTCCAATTTTAGTGAAAAACAGATTTTCTGCGAATTTACCCATTGCAAACTGAGCTGTGCACATATTGGATTATACATTTGTATCAACATGTGTACATGCACCTTACAATGTTGTAAAAATAATCATCAAAAAGGTTTATTATTATTATTATGAAGTCAATGAAGGTGAAGACATTGTTTACCTGAACACTATGGACAGAAAACTCAGCACCTGGAACCAGTGTGGAAGACAGGTAACTGGCTGGATGCAGAAAGCCAGATGTGGCAATGTTTGGTCCAAGTATTACAGTGCGAAACTCATTGTGTCTACGCTGGAGGTCCTTCAGCCTTCTCTGTAGACGTACATACTCTTCTTGAGAAATGTTTTGCCTAAAGCATGAGTGAAAAATTCAGTTACATACATATCTGCAAACAACGGAAGTCTTCAAAGTCTTTAGTTTAGATTTTGGATCAAGTAGACTTAGAACCTTACATAACTGTAATGAGACCACTGCAGTCCTTTGGGAGAGTTAGATAATATACTTACCTTCCCCTGGGTTTCATATTGCAGGGGGTGATGCCACCAACCTTCTGACAAGTGACCAAAAAATGCAGAGTACCTGAAATCTTGCGGAATGATGCTACGACACTGGGCAGTATCTTCTTCTTACGAGATTTTGGGCTACTCAGCATTCCCTAGAATCTTGCCGAAGGATGGTGAAGTTACCCTCATCTAGGTGCCACAAGGGAAGAGGGCGGTTGGGTGCAGTGGGGTTAGACAACTTTTTTTTGTCCCACAGGTATTTATTAACAGTGGATTGCAGCAAATTGGAATGGGTTGCTCTAACTGAATAAACAGACCTTGCTTTTTAGGTGCGGTCTGCTTAAAATGCACAAACACTGAGGGCCCATCCACACCTTGGTGTCCTGGTGCATTGTATTAATGTGTTTTTGCCAGCAATAATGTGTGCTTGTTAGGCAGCCCATGCAAAGAAAAATGTGTAACACATGCAAAAACACAAACACTAACCATTACACACTAGCCAAACTGAACACTCACCTATTCAATACAGATTTTTCCGTCTCCAGTTCCTCTTTTTTTGCCTCCAAAATTTCGACCCTTGCTTGTAGTTTTTTACACTTGTTGTCATGTATGTTTTTTCTCTATGATAAAAAAGATACAAAAAAATGAGTTAAAAAAAAAAGCATAAAGTGAAAAAGGAAATCCCTACTTCAATATTTCCATATCAAAATCCACATATGTTACGGAACAAAGCAACATTAAATCTCCATTTATAAAACAATTAATTATTATTAGAGCTTAGATTAGGGTTTGATAATGTGAATATAATTAGTCAGACTGCCTGAATGAAGAAGGTACGACTTTACATTTTTCTCTCTTTACTATTAGATACTCCACTTTGCAATGACATGATGGTGTAAATGAATATTTCTCAGCACCAAAGTGAAGCGATACCTTTAGGCCTTTGTTCCAGAAAAAAATGAACATTAAAGATTCCAACTTAAATACCTGAGAAAGATGGGATCTTAAATGCACTATATGATTGGGATCTCAACTTCAGTTGCAATAGCGTCCTTCACCATGCCACTATCTTTCGACAAACCAGTGAACAGCTCAGCAGCCGATAATGAGGCTCTCAATGGTTTGTGTCATAGCAGGGACTGTGACAATTCTAAAAGTTGAAGCCAAAGCATAGGCCATAATAATATGTATATTCTCCTACCACTGGGAATAAGCAGGCACAAATAAATAGGTGTTGCTTTTGGTGCATTTTTACTGTTAAAATAACCCAGCGGGTTTAATTCACCATAATATTAGCTGCAGTATTACCAAAAGCACACATTTAAAAGTTACTGTGGAAACACACAGTAACGCAGTGCAGCTGCCCAGGAATATTGTTTTGTATACAGGCATTAATTGGGTGCAATAGTTCAGTATTTTGGGGACACCATTTGCTAAACCTGTGATTCTGCAGTCAAGGGATTCTCAGCTCTGTAACACTTTGCCAATGCTATTCACAGGACTGTCCCATTCTAATTAGTCAGAACCATGGGCAAAATATTCGTTAGACTCCTCAATCCCCAGTACAGTCACCTGAAAACAATGAATGCAGGGTGCTGTAGTGCTGATAAAAGAAGTCTGAACGAGTAGTGCAACTTATCAGTGGGCTACCAACACGATCCTGGAAGCATGCAAATATAAGAAACCTCTTAATAGAGAGCAGCATTAAGGAGCCTACAGTAGTTGGAGAGAAAATTTCTCTCCAGAATCATATGCAGAAGTTCAAGATCACCAACCTGTGGAGCAGTTTGCAGCAGTACCTGCAGCTGAGTCTCTGCAGGATCAGTCTGCTGCTTCTTACCTGCACCCCACCCTTGTTTACTGTTCATCTGTACCTGTGCAATCGCTTTTAAACTACATGTAAACCTGTCCTAAGACTTCAGTCCATGTGTTTAGACGTTCTCACACTCCCACCTGCTGGTTCTTATTGGACTCGTCCTTTGATGTGATGCCTGGAATAGCTCAGTGCAATCAGGAATTGCTTGTGCAAATACCTCTCTGATTATCGGTTCCCAGACTGCTGTTCCCATGATCCAATTCTGATGCCCATTAGTAACCTCTACTTGTTTCTAGACTATACATGTTATCCACCAGCTCTAACCTTTTGCCTGTTTGAACATGAGCCTTCTGCTCTGGTACTATGATTTGTTTCCAACTGCTGTCTACTGTCGCTAGTTTAAGTGTAGCTGAGGGTCACAGCCTGGAAGTCGTCTGCAGCAAAGTCCATCATCCATTGCAGTGTGCTGTAGTGGACACTGGGCGGTTCCTTAGACTCTGCACCTCGGCCCTACATTAGCCTGGAAACACAGAGGGCCCACTCCCTCCATGACACTGACAAGGATATTTGGTAGACTAATGCAATATAGCAATTCCCAGATGGAAAAATGACATGTTGAGCACGAAGGCTGTGCTCCCTGTATGCATCTCACAATTAAAAGATTGTTTTATGGGATTTCAGATACAAAATTACCTTTTTCTGAGCTACAGCTGCCCTGTGCAATTTGTCTTTTAACTCCTTGTATTTGTCTTCTAGTCGGGACAGGTTCTCCTGTAGTTTATGTTTCTCCTGGAGCCACTCAATTCTATTCCCCTCAAGTTCTCTGTAAAAATTAATTAAAAAAAACATTAAGCCATAGTAACATGAACAGGCTTATCACAACATCTTTGCTTTAAGGAAATAAGAACAGTGTTTGTATTAGGTTTATTAGCTAAGCAATGTCATGCATAGAGAATTTATGTTTAGAACAAAACAGAGATCACACAAGATTCGAGAATATATACAAACTGTATTTGTTACATGTCACTGCAATATACCACGCTTAAGGAATCCCTCAAGCTATCCCATACCAATAAGGAAGAAAAAAAAAAAGAAAGGAGGGCCTTAATGTGCTGAGACAGTAAATGTTAATTTGTAAAAGAGTTTTCGGCAACTATACATGGAGGGTTTGTTCACACCAATTACAGTGTGTTCCAGCACGGTTAGCTGCTGGAAATCACTGTATCGCATTCTAAACTCCCCCCTGCATTCTGGAGCGGGAAGGGGCTTGCATTCCGGTGCAGTGCAATTGCATAAAATAGTGCATGCACTGCACTGGAACGCACTGTAATCGGTGTGAACAAGCCCCAAGTCTCGTCTTGTATGTGCACAATACCATCGATAGACAATCCTAACTGTTTACATTAAAATGGTGCAGTCTAAGGTGAGTTGAGTATCTGATGTGAAGGGGGTATGGGGATGTTGGACAAATCGAGGCAGAGACCCTGGCTAATTTGTTGCGCCTAGGCCCTGAAGCATCAATCTATGCCTATGACCGAGTCACACTAAATTTTAATATTTAGTTACATCAAAGAGTTAAGGTTACAAAGATGATGACCCCCCCCTACTTTGTTTTATAATGTCACCCCTGTAGCAAAACATCGTTTTGCATATTTACATTGGTCCAACATACAAGGTGATATCTGATTGGATTGAGGGGGGGGAGAAGAGGTGACTTTATGTAAAAAAATACCAGACAGTTTCTGAATAGCTGCTGTGCCAAGTGACCAAATCCCTGTGTTTTTAGAGCAGAAGGAAAGCCGCTCAGCATAGGAAACCGGCATCTGGGAGATCGCAGCAACACTGTAGTAGCTCTGGCTACTACAATGCTTCACAAGATTCCCAGCAGCCGGTCAGATATGGCAAGGGCATACTTACATTGGCCAAGGTGGACCAATGTAAGTATGCAAACTAATGCATACCTGGAGTTCAGTGTAAGTTACAGAATAAAGATATATAGCACTCTTAATATTTATAACTATAGCAAGACATCTCCTGCATTTTAGATTGTAAGCCCTCACGGGCAGGGCCCTCCTTACCATCTTGTCTTGAATTGTATTGTGACTGTAATGTCCTCCTTATATTGTAAAGCGCTGCGCAAACTGTTGGCGCTATATAAATCCTGTATAATAATAATTTAAAAATATTATATCAACCATAATGAAAGCTAGTCTCACTTTTCTGCATCATGCTGAGCCTTTTCTGCCTGGCTTCTAGCACTGCGATTTTCTTGTTGAAGATGTTCTACCCTTTCCCTTAGTTTCTCATTTGTGCGCAGTAGATTGTTTTCAGACTCTGATAAAGATGCTACCTGAGTTTGTAAGTCTTTCATTTCCTGTTAGAAGAAAAGGGAAAACCTGAAAATGATTGGATACATACATACATACATACATCATAGTGTTTAGAATGAGAGAAGCTCACATTATAAAAGTCATTCATAACACTACTAAAATATACATACAGTTGTGTGAAAAAGTGTTGGCCCATTCCTGATTTTTCATTGTTTTGCATGTTTGTCACACTTTGTTTCAGATCATGAAACAAATTTAAATATTAGTAAAAGATTAAAAAAACACAAGTAAACACAACATGCAGTTTTTAAAAGGAAGGTTTTTGTTATAAAAGAGAAAACAAAATCCAAACCCACATGGCCCTGTGTGAAAAAGTGTTTCGGACGGGAGCGCGCGGGGAAGACACAGGTACGTTTAAATAAATAGCAGTGCTTCTAACAGTCGGCTTTTATTTATACAGTTTAAACCTTTTAGCCCCCCCCCCAAAAAAAATTAACAAAAAAACTGCTGCAATAACTGCTCAAAAAGTGTTAGATGGAGTTAGACTTTGGTTGTCACTTAACGTACATAAATGAAATATCAATCTAGGACGGTCTTGTCCAAAAAGTAACAAGGCTGCTGGGCGATTTCACTACAGAACAAAAAACCATTGTCACCCTACTACAAGAAATGGAAAAATAATAGAACGAATGGCAGAATTAACAGGTAAAAAAATAATGTAACAGGAGGGTCTCAAAAAAACAAAAACTGCTTTGCGAGTGCTAGTGGGAGATTGCATTATATATGTTATTTGTGATTTTGCTAATAGCTCAAATTTACATGTGACCAGAGTAGCTGGAAAGCAAATGAAGAGCCCAAATGTATGGAAGAAACAACCACAGAGGGTAAAAGGGAGACAAAGGTCTAGCTGCAAAAGACATTGCCTACCAGCTACTACAATAGGACTGGGTGGGCTCTACACACCAGATATGGTCAGGGTAAAATATATTGCACAATAACCTCTGCTGATAAATACTATATAATATTTAGCTAATAAAAACAGATATTAACTAAACAAAACACAGCTTCCAGTAATCTGCATGTAAAACATTGGCGTAGTGGTTAGCGCTTCTGCCTTGCAGCACTGGGGGTCCTTGGTTCAAATCCCGGCCAGGTCACTATCTGCAAGGAGTTTCCATGTTCTCCCTGTGCTTGCGTGGGTTTCCTCTGGGTATTCCGGTTTCCTCCCACACTCCAAAGACATGCTGGTAGGTTAATTGGCTCCTGTCTAAATTGGCCCTGTATGTATGTATGTATGTATGTATGTATGTAAGTAATATAGGGACCTTAGATTGTAAGCTCCTTGAGGGTAGGGACTGATGTGCAGTATGTAAAAGCGCTGTGTAAATTGTCGGCGCTACATAAATACCTGTAATAAATAAATAAAACATTAATGTTGTACATGCATCAGCATCCTTACTCGTTTGAGGTCTGCTACATCATGAACTTCCTTCTTTATCTGTTCTGCATAGAACACTTGTTGCTGGAGTTTAGACCTAAGGGAAGGAGCAGAAGAGGTTAGCTATAGCTTAGAGATTAATTTGAACACCACCAAAAATATTAAATTGCCCATCAAATAGAAATGTACATTTTGTAGAGTCCCCAGATTGGCAGATGTTTCAACAGACAAAAAAAAAAAGGAGATAATGGATCTTCCCTTCTTTCTCTCAGCTGCTGCACCTACAGTGATTTCTCTCTATTCTCACGCAATGTTAATCTCTGATGCACAAGTAGTGTAGGGACTGCTCTCAGGTGTGTATGCAAACAGGAATGGTCCTAAAACCAGTAAATCAGAAAAACTTTATGATAATGGATACTTCAAGCATGCTCATGCTGTCCATATATTCCTATGTCTGTGATTTGTTTCCATTAAAGTTAGACCATTGCAGTGACACAAATTATACTACATAAGTAAAACTTTAATATTATATTTCAAAACATTTGTGGCATTCACTGTGAGTGTCTCTGGTGGGAGCACATACTTATGCATATAAGAAGAGGAACATTTATTCCTATGCGTAATCACAGTGGGTCTCGGTACCCCCAACCAAGGAAACAAAGTCCACACAATCCTGAAAAAGGGAATCCAGGGCACACATAGCAAATCGCTCTGGTTTATTGTATCAAGAGAAAATTAGCAAAAACAATAAATACCATCATGGTTGGATGATTTTGATTGTTTTTAGTTTGTGCAAAGTTGTTTTGATACAATAAAGAGTGATCTGCTGTGAGTGCCCTACATTCCCTTTTTCTGGATTGTGTAAACCTTGTAATAAAAGTTGATCCAATGCAAACTAATAATACGTGTTGTACTAAGTCGAAGAGACTGCCAATGCCGAGTTCCTTAAAAAAATGCTATTTGCCCATCTGTCTCTGGCCTCAATACTTAGAGAAACCTGGAATAGTTCCTGGAAATAGAAGTTTTATTATTTTTTTAAAGCGGGCTCCAGCTAAATAGGGGAAGCAGTTACACATTGTAAATGTAAGATGTGGCACTGTATGGTGGATGATATATAGCCGCAGCATTACTTTGCATACTCTTGTTACAGGTTTATTTTGAAGCACACCAATTAGCCATTTTAAATAAGTTAGTGAATGTGATGTATGCACCTCTGCTTTGCTACACATCCAGATAAGTAAAACACTTATTTTCTGGTTCAACTATGCAGGTTACTGGATTCCCTCCATCCTGTTCATTGGACAATGACTTATCTTCATCAACTTTGTCCAACTAGTAGGGGGCTCAACCATAAGGCAATAGTGGTAAACGAGAGAGATCGCACTTACTAGCAGATGTCTGAATATCACAAAATTGGCTGGCCAAAATTACAAAGCCATAGACATACAATTGTGTTTTAACTGAGAATTTAGCTAATTGTTTGGAGTTCCACTTTAAACATTTAACAGTAAAAGAGCAGAACCACAAGATATCTGCTGTTACTGTAATTAGAAAACCAATCTTTGTAAGGTTCACCTAAACTAGGCTCACTTTGTTACCAGGGCCCACCTCAACCCCATTACTGGACACTGAGGGACTCTCATTGATGAAACAGATGACAATGGATGTGGCCTAGTTCAGAAGTCATGAAAGTCAGGCCTCAGTATCAAAGTAACAGTAGCTGAAGAGAGGCACACAGAGAAGAGCTTTCCGGCTAACAGACAAAAGTGGGCATCTTGTGCTTACTCTTGGGCAGGACTTTACCTTTTAAGCTGCATTATTAATCAGATGTAGTCACTCAGCATTTAGGATTTACAATCCATTTATAGTAAGAATAATTAAGCAACTACTTAAAAAGAGAATAGGCACTCAAACACTTCTACAAATGAAATCTAACCTTAAATTCTGAAGTTCCTTTCTGACAGATTCCTCTGCTAACTGAGCAATATGAACCTTTTCTTTGAGTTGACTTATTTCCGTGTTGTTCTGATGGTCCTGGTCCTCTTTATACTTCTCCAGTTCAGCTAGTCTGTTTTCTAGTTCCATCCTAAGGGGAAATATAGCAGCCAATATCTAAATCTAAAAGGCAGGGGACCGCACACAAAGTGGAATAAACAAGTGGGTACGTGCACAGTAAATGTAGCAGTTTTATGCCATTGCTGACCTTTCAGCCAGGATTGTAGCAGTTTCCTGAAGTCCTACTTCTTTGGCAGCTTGCACTTTACGTATTAGCTCGCGCTCTTTCTCAGCCAGAAGCTCCTTTTGGCGTTCCAGGGTTGCTGTCAGAATCCCATTTTCTGTTTCTAAGTCTGCAAATAGAATTTTCCATTCTAAAGTTATTTATTTTTTTCCTTACACAGCAGCTACTTCAGCCAACTATATAGCTCCTTTTAACTACATTTTGTAGGTGCATTATTATAAGCCTGTTAAAAAAAGGTATAGAGATTCCTGCTGCAGGAACCTACAAAGTTCCTGCTGCAGAAAACCCAAACATGCTGATCAGAAGCGCTCGCTGTCACCTATTTAAGTAATATGATTATATGCGGTTAGGAATAGAACACTAACCCTGGAAGCATAGCCAGGGATAGTGATCCATTCCTTACCACATGCAATTACATGTGAAGTGCCAGTGTTCTAATCACATTTTTGGTTTTTTTAAATGGCGAGCATCTACGGCAGGCATACATGAATATCTAAAAGGAGATAAAACATGTGTATAGATATATATCTACACACATGTTTATCTCTGTGTGTATATTTATATAAAGATGGTATATATGTTATAGCTTATTGTTATATATTATTTAGATTTTATAAGTAATATTTTTTAGTTTTTATTAACATTATATGGCAAGAAATGTGGCTGTAAAATGTCTGGGCCTACGGGATTGTGTTTTAACAATGGGTCTATACATTTTCTGGACCTGCACATCTGCCGTAGCATGTGAGATTTCTGCACTCCCTTCTGCACCCCCGGAAATCCATAAATCTAATGGGCAGTAGCCTGTGAGATTTCTGGACTCCCTTCACACGCCCCCGGAAGACCAGAAATCTCACTGGTCTGGAGAAGTGGTAGAACACCGGCGTTCTGCTGCTTTCAAATGCGGCTGCTGTCACCCCATCATTAACTTAAACAGGTGACAGCAGCCGCTTCTAAACAGCATATTTGGGATTCCTGCAGCAGGAAATCAGTACTACTGAAGCCTGTAAAGTGACAGTAAGCACTCCCATTAGGATATAGGTTTAACCCCCCCTTTCCCCCCCAAACAGGAGAAGAATATTGTTCTAAAAGCTTCTATAAAAAGGTTGTTCAAATCTTCTTTTACAAATCCTTTGTAAAAGCTTGCTATGCACACACTGTTCTTATACAAGCGGAAACCCGTATAACCAAGGCCTTATAACAGCCAGTCGTATCAGTTATTGGAAACCCATTTCTACAATCTTACATGTTTTTAGTGTAGATGTGAGCTAAGGTGAATCCAGAATAAGCCTTATATCATGATTTTCATGGAGGTTGTAGAATTTTATTCAAATAACACTACAAATTGCTATATTAAAATACATTTCATAAAAGGCACAATATACACTAAAGTCACGTTTTAAATTATTGTCAAACACTCTTATGTTTAGGGATACACTACCTTCGAGTTGACCTTGAAACTTGTCTTTATCTTTCTCAGCTTCATTCTTTGCTCTGGCAGATTCTAATTTTATGTTGGTAATTTCAATGCTCTGGGAATGCTTTAGCTTATCGATCTGTATTATAGAAAATGAGCATATGTTAGTGCTTAAAAACTGATGTACCAAACCATTTCCATTTCTGAGTACATGCAAACGTATCTTCCTTTTGAGCGCAAGAGAGAACTATGGGGTAACCTTTTTTCGCCATAGTTCTCTTTAGGGTCACAGAGGACATATACTAACCCCTTCCGTGACCCAAAGCTCATTATATAACGGGCTATTGCCTGCTATATACTGAGAGTGCCACAGTCGGGATGGATCCACCCAGCTGGCTGACAGCGGGCTCTGCCTATCTAGAGGCAGAGCCAGCTGTGCCCTCGCCCTCCCCCTCTCAGTCCATTCCTTCAGTCAGCGCTGGAGGATCGGAGAGGGGAGGGAGCAAATCCCTGCGTGGATCGGTGACTGACAGTCACCACTCTCTGTAGGGAGATGACCGGGAAGTGAACGAGCGACAGTATGTGTTCACCTCACTTCCCGATCAATAGAGCCGATATGTGACAGTTTCAATGTCACACGTCGGCTCGAGCTATGAGGATAAGTGTAAATCACTCACCTCATAGTTCCCCTTTAATACCAATTCAACTCCAATGCAATATTTAAATTCAACATTAAAATATACAAGCATTTTGCACAAATATCATATAGGAAGCATGCTTACAATGTTGCCTCCAATTTTACTGATTACATTTCCTGAATAGAGATATTCAGCAAGGAAACAGTTCCACTCTTGGTGGACATACACAATAACAATGCAATCAGTTTTTCTCACCCATCCCATGTGCTTACTGGGACTGCATTTATAGCTCAGCCGGATCTGCAATGCTTTTATTTAGACCTTAGATCGCTCCTTGAGCAAGCTGAAAAATAGTTTTCTGGATTGTATTGGTCATCTCATTTGTTTATGGTTATACAACATGGGGTGCCGATGAAATTAGACAAAAAGGAAACGCCTGGGCCAACAGCTGCGGGGACATCAAGCTGAATTTTGCAGATTTAGAGTTTCAAAGCACCACAGCAGAGAAAGGCAATGAGCAGAAGAGCCTATCGCACTCAATCACATCCTGGCCATTCACTGGATGCCTCAGATAAAAATAAGTAGTGTTCTCAGCAAAAAGTCAGGTTATTCACTATGCCAATCTAACATCAATTTTTTTGTTTGCTTGTGTTTTAAGGTATCTGTAAAAACAAACTTTAACAGCTATGTAATGCGACACTAAACTCAGGAGTTAAGTCTTAAAAATGCATTCAAGTGCCTTAACTACAAACAAAACTGTATCTTATTTGAGTATATCACTCAAATCATCTCTGAATTGGTGCCGACACTGTCCTTCCTTCTGGAGGGTGGCTACTTTTCTTCCCCATGGTCCCTGTGTGTTATTTTAGGGGCTATTCATAGTAATCCATGGGTGTTAACATGAGGTGTGTTAAGGCAGCCCATTCATTATAAATGGGCTGCGAATTTACTATAACAAATGGAAAAACGCTCATGACCTTTTTTTGCAATAAGGCAGCGCACCACAGTTCACGATATGCATGTTGTGGTAGGAGGAAATTCACAGTGAATGGCACGGCATCACACTACCCACAGTTAACCACCTTCCGTCCATGGCCGTTTGTGAACGGCCGGACGGACGTCTGCTAGGAGCGGGAGGACATCTTAAGACGTCCTGCCCCTCCCCCCTCTCGTGTGCGGCACTCAGCGCGCACACGAGAGGGGAAACTGCGAGCATGTAAACAGCCAGCGATGGCTGTTTACATACAAGCGATCAGGGGTCTCTAGAGACGCCCGATTGCTTGCAGGAGCTGCGGGTGTGCGGCCTCCCCACCCCCCCGTACCTCTGTCCCGCCGTCTCCTCGTCGCCGCTGCCGGTCCATGATCCGATGTGGCCGGCGCGGCTGGGACCGGCACGGCGACGCTCTAACAGCAGATCAAAGGGAGATCATTACTCGATTTCCCTTTGATCTCTCTTCCTGTCCCCGAATGGAGGAAGTGATGTACAGTGATACCTTGGTTTACGAGCATAATTCGTTCCGGAAGCATGCTTGTAATCCAAAGCGCTTGTATATCAAAGCGAATTTCCCCATAGGAAATAATGGAAATTCAGATGATTCGTT